ATATTTCCAAATGTCCTGCCCTGCTGCGTGTGTAACTCAGGGCAGTGTCTGAGCCCTGGTGGGTGTGAATTCATCGGGTGCCTGTGCTGTTGAGAACTGTGCAGGGCATTGTGGCCCATAGAGAAGAGCAGAGGGCTCAGTGCACCTAAGTTACTTAGGTGGGGAGCTCTGGCGCGGGTCCTCTCCACCCTGCAGTCTCAGGAGAAGTGCCGTGCCTTGGGTTTGTGTGCTGGTGGGGTTGGTATGAATGCTGCTTGCAGAATATCAAAGTGGGCAACGTAGTGTTCTCTTGCCGGGAATGAATGAAGTGAGAGGTACGTACCATGCCTTTTCCCTGATGTGTTCCATGTGTGTGACACGTAGGTGGTGGCTTGCACAAGTGCACTGCCTGTCATTTAGCATAGACTTTGGTCATTGCAGGTGGCTTATACAGTAAATGGGGAAAACAGCATTATCCCCATGGTCAGCATGATAGCCAACAGATACTTTGGCAGCTGTTTGCAGTGTCACAGACAATGTAGGAGGTGGCAGGGAGCAAGGCAGGTCACAATATGGGGTCTGGAGCCCTGGAGTCTTATTCTAGGCTGGCTGTTAGCCCAAGGGTCGGGTTGTTGTGACCTCTTGGAGGCAATGTCATCTCTTTGAGAAGGTGAGGCTTCATGAAAAATGCCAGATTTCCTCCTGGCATTTACATTTCTTGTTTGAGTAAATGCTTCCTGAGGATCCTTTATGGCTCGGCATCTGACTCCTCTGAAAAACCAGTAGTGGGAGAAATGCTCAAAGGATACTAACATGGCAGTTTCGTATGCCACATTAAGACAGTTGAACATTAGTGACACTGACTGGCTTGTGGCTCATGTTGCCGTGGTTCTCAGCCTCCAGCCTCCCCACACCCAAGAGAAGCACCGTGTGACCGAAGGAAACAGTGAAAGGGTTCTATGTTGGAAACACTTGGTTCCCTATTACATCCAGATCACTAAGTGCTATTCTTTTCTAAGTCCTAGCACTGAACTTCTGCTCCTCAATTCCACCATTATGACAAAGGGATGGTACAGATTTGGGGGCAGTGCAGGGCCTTCATGGAAGGAGCCACCTGGAGGCAGGAAGAATCAGGGGTCACTGCAGTGGGACCAGAGGCTACAGGGAGAACTCCCTGTGAGTCACCAATGGGAGGGAGAGAAAGAAATGACTCACCACTGCATAGTCCCTGTCCCACCAGCTGGAGCTCATCAGGTCCTCCAAGCTCTGGGGAAGTAACAGGGAGAAAATAGAGAGCCCACTGTTGGTGCTCAGTCCCCCAGACACTGGAAGATCTGGGAAATTTAAAATTATATTGATGCCCAGCCACATTGCCAAGGCATGTGATTTCATTGGCCAGGTTCTTCCTGGGCACTGGGCCCTTGGATGTGCTGTTGAGCAGAGAATCCTTCCCAGAGGAAGCATTGAGGAGCCACCCCAAGGCCACCCCAAGCCTTGGCTGGATGTGGGCTCATGTGGACCTGCCTGAGTATGAGAAGGCTGTAGGGTGGGTGACACTTGAAGAGGACACCCTGTTGGCAGAGAAGTGGGTGAAATGGGCAACATTCAGTGAATTTCACACTGTTGAGACCAACATCCTAAAATCTTCCCAGCAGGAAAACTGCCCTGCCCACTCTCTCCCCTCCCATTAACCTAGCCCAAGACAAAGGGGCCAAACACAGAAATACCCTCCTTGACTCTCTCAGTTTACTTGGGTCTAAATGAGTTGGTGAGAACAGAATAGAATCTCTAGCAGACCTTGCTTCAACATCATTTTAAGTCCAAAAGAGAAAAAGGCTTTCATAATAATGAGAAATATAAATGGAAAGCATAATACAGCTTTCTTGGGGTGATATTCAGCTTTCTTTTAGCCCCTTCTTGTGGGACAGTCTTGTCTCCTGTGTACTCATCAGAGATCTCTGCCACTGTCCCCTTCTAGTGAGGTGTTGTTTCCTGTGGCTGGGGTCCTCCCCTCCTGCTCATCCCTTACCTTTATCTCTTTACAAGAACCTGTGGGATAGCTGACATCCTCGGGCTACAGAAACCTTGTCTTAATTACTTTTTCCTTGTTGAGACAAAATACCCAACACCTACAAGTTAAAGGAGGAAAGGCTTATTTGAGCTGACATTTTGTAAGAGGTTTCAGTACATAATCAGCTGGCTCCAAAGCAGGGTGTCATGGCAGAGGAGAAACAGTCCATGGCAGGGCAGGCAGGAAACAGCAAACAGCAGCCTCCCTTCTTTCATTCTCTTTTTATGCCATTCAGGCTACAAGCCATGGGTTGGTGCTATTCACGCCCAAGTGGGTCTTTTGTCTTCAGTAAAGCCATTCAACCACACCCAGAACTTTGCTGATCCAATTAGCAGACTAATCCAGTTATCACACATCCATGATCCAGCCACTAAAGGAGGGAACATTTTAGATTATAGACCATAACAGACCTGGAGTGAGATGACCCCACCTCCTCCCCAGGCACACTAAGTCATTATCTTAAACTATTATAAGAAGCCCCCTAGGTTCAGAAACCCATAATACTTTGGAGGTTATTTTCACCCCGAAATTTTCAGAATGTGAATACTTTAGAAAATAGTAAAGAGAAATGTAATTTTTCTAGGATGATAACTTTATTTAACATCTACAGGATTTTGATACCTTGCAGTTTTTGACCAAGTTTTATAATCTCAATTTTAGCAGTGTAACCTGTGCAATCCAAAGAAAGAAAGAAGAAAGCAAGCAAGCAAGCACCATAAATATCTCTTACAGGCAAAACAAAACCTACCCATGTTATAGATTTGTTCACATGTGTACTTTACCATTTTAACAGCTTGAGATAAACGGTACAATGTCTTACAGCACATGAAACAGTAGAAAAATTTAATTTTAAAAATAAAGTCTGACAAGAATGCAAAAATAAAATGTTTTAAATTATAGATACAAAAATCTTAAAATAGTAACAAACTTAATTCGACCAAATAATAGAAGCATAGTACATGAACTGGTGATCTCTTCTTTAAGCGATCAGTCATTTTAAAAAACCCCTAAAATTAATCTTATTAATACTCAAAATGTATGATCTAGTCAAAATTGAAATTAGATTTCATGGGAGAAACTAGATACACTGATGCAAAAATTTACCCAGTTAAATGATTTTGTGAGAATGGCTAAGAAATTTTGAAATAGAGAAATGACTAGGAACTTGCTTTTACTAGTTAATAACATTTATTTTAAAGCTATAATATTTAAACTGATATGGTACTATGACCACAATGGATCCATAGAACAAAATAGAAAGTAAAATAGATCCTACTACCCACAATAATGAAATAAGCAATAAATATAAAGGTAGTACTTGAAGTCAGCAGAGAATATGTATTATTCATTAAATTATGTTGGTATAATTGCTTAAGCATTATTAAAAACAACAGACCTTGCTTTTTTGCCCACATCCAAATAGATTAAAAAGTCTATCATGAGAAAAATTAAATGAAAACACTGGAACACAGCTTTAATATTCATATAGGATGGTAGTGAACAAATAAAGTGAAAAAAGTTGTCTACCTGCTTATATTGCTGTAATTTTTAATATGTGTGCCCAAACAAAAGAGAAGCCACTCTCCTTACCCATCAACAGTACAAACTGCAAAAATGAAGTGAAAACAAAAAAACAATAAATGATGATAAGCTGGGATTGCTTGTACCAAGATGACACATAAAGGGCCAGTAATGTTTGTATCAAATGTGACAGATAAAGAGTCAAAGGAGCTCCTAAGATTTTATTAAAATAATAATAGAATAATAAATTGACAGTAAATGTCAAATATTTCAGAAATATTAATGTTATATGGCCATCCGATCCCCATCTGAGAATTTATCCTCAAGAATATTTGCATGTTTTTGTGTGTATACATGCATGAACATATATATGCTTTTTTCCAGAAAGTTATCTATGAAAGACAGGACAGAATGAAAGAGAAGGAAGAAAGGCAAGAGAAAGAGAGAGGGACAAAGGAAGGATAGAAGGAAGGGAAGGTGGGGAGGGCAAGGAAAAAGAAGGGAAGAGGAGAGGAAAAAAGAAAAGAAAAACAACAAAAAAATAAGGACCTCAAATTTCCAACAGTGGATTAAAGAAATTGTGTTATATTGACATAGTTTACAGCTGCTTGGTAAAAGGAACCTGGGAACGTGGTCATGTGGGATGTACAAGGAGTTGCTTTCGAGAAAACAACTACATGTAAATTGATACACAGATACATTCACAAAGATGCCTGAAATCTGAAAGCTTCACAGTGGTTGTCTCTGAGTGGGTTACAGATGACTTTTCTCAAATTTGTATACACTTGTTTTCTCTTGCTATATTGTAGTTTTAGGACAAAATGGTTTTTCAAATGTTCTTGGGAGAACTCTAGGCTTGGTGTAATAACCTCAAGACATCGCGCTAGTTTGTGGATGTTCTGCCCATTGCTACCTGGCTCACTCCTCTCCTTCGGTCCCCATTCCTGTCCAAGTCTGGCTCCTGGTCACAAGCAACGGGAAATGATGTATCTAACCATGGTGGCCTCTCGGACTGTGTGTCAGTCTGAGAGCTGTGTGTCATGGGTGATGACCAGTTTGGCTTTGTCCTTTAGATGTTCCCCAGGAACCGTCCAATTTCCACTGGTGGGGTTGGGCCTTGTGATTCTTCTGCCCCTGCCTTGGGCATTAGGCCTGGCTGGGTGGCCATGCCAAGCAGATAGGCTTAGCCTGTGTCCTTCATCTGGAAGGACTCAGAGGACAGACCCTGAGCCCAACAGGTCAGCTGAGGCAGCCAGGGAGCTGAGGAGGCCGGAGACTACAAACAGACCCTAGAGAGAAGGGAGCCAGGCTTGGCGGGGGCAGGAAGCCAGGGCCTGGCCGCTTCCTCCCAGCTGCTTGCTGTACCCAGTTTCCCAGGGACAATCTGCAATGTTAACCTGTGCTTTTTGTCTCTGTATCATGTGGACAGGTTCTAACATTCCCATGGACCAGCCCTGCTGTCGCGGTCTCTACGACTTTGAGCCAGAAAACCAAGGAGAATTAGGATTTAAAGAAGGGGACATCATTACATTAACCAACCAAATAGATGAGAACTGGTATGAAGGAATTATACACGGGGAATCTGGATTCTTCCCTATTAATTATGTGGAAGTGATTGTGCCTTTACCTCAGTAAACGTGTAACTCAAAACTTTGGACACATTTTCCTGACTGAAATGAATTCACACCGATGTTCTCGCCGTGTGGTGTTCTGTGACCTCTGAGCTCTCTTAGCAACTTAATGACTTTTGTATGTGTGTTATCTTTCTAATGTATTTTGTATCAATTTAATTTGTATAAATGATTTTTTTTTGTTCTTGTTACATGAAAATAGTTTTCTTGTTTGCTTACTGTTCAAATAAGTCATTGCTTAAATGTATTTGCTGCCGGTTGCTAAAAAATAAATCATACCCGTTGCCAATACATCAGTGAATTGCCTATATACTGCTTGGCTACAGTGGAATGCAACATTTGAAACTAAGAAATGCTAAATGTTTTGTTTCTTGACACAACTGATGGCATCTCGTCCTTTCTCTCTTCCTCATGTTTTAAGCTTACCCGTGAATAGCCCAATAAATACGACACACTGTGTTGGCAAAAGGCCTTCGTGATTTTTAATGTTGAGTTGATTTTTAAGCACAGCGTTGAAGGCTGCAGATTCGCCCTGTGCCCGCTGGCTGACCCAGGGGCACGGCTAGAAGCTCTGATATGGTTCCTGAAGACATCAGCAGACCTGAGCAGGGCCTTCGTGCTCCATGGACTCATTCCAGCTGCAGCAGCGTGGGCAGCCTTCCACCTGCTTTCAAGTTTGTTGATGAAAGAGCCCAACTCAAGCTCTATCTGTTTTCAAGTATCAGGCGGGTTTCTCAGGCAAGGCTGCAGTAGATGCTCAGAAACTAGTGTGGCCGGAAGTTGGGCTGAGTGTTCACTAACGTGACCACTAGCTTCAGTGAACCAGGGCAGGCACGTCATGAGCTTTGGCCCAGCGAGGACCACAGCAATCCTGGGATAGAGAGGGAGGTTGCCCGCCTTTCATAGAGGAGACGCATTTGATGGTTTCCCAGGATCAACAACCCAGTAGTGGCAGATGCAGAGTTTGATGCCCCCCACTGCCCACTCAAGTCTTCATCATTGGCACTGGTAACAGATGCCCAGAGGCTGGATCAGTCTCCTAAACCAGTTGACTAAACCAGTTTTCCCAGTCTTCTACGTCCATGGTAGTCAGTAAATCTGTGATAACATGCTTTCCTACCAGCTACCTACAAGCACATGCACGCATGCACCTTATCCAAAACAGCTGCACATCTAGTGTCTGTACTAAAAGGACTAACATTTATGAAGGGCCTACATGCATGTACCAGGGTCCGCCAAGTACTTTACATGAGCAAATAAAGAAAGCACCTGCTGAGCTAGACCTGACCCTGATGCCTATTTTTCAGATAAGAGAGCAGAAAAGCTAAGTAACTTATCCATTGCTTATACTTTATAAGAAGCAGAACTGGGATTTTAACCCAAATAGTCTCCATCCACGCCCATGACCTTCACCATTCTAACTGCCTCTCCTCGTATGGGTTACTTTACATAAATTCACAAATTTTATATACACTGTCAGCTGCCACAGTAGAAATTTACCAAGCAAATGAAAAACCCAAGGCCTGCCTTAATGCCCAAAATATGATAACTTTCTTGGGAAATAAACAGTAACTGAAGTTCACTGAGAGGTATCCAGGAAGCTCTAGTGTAGTAATAAGTCAGTAATTTACATGTGGTTTCTTTCAAGCAGTTAGCATGGTGCTGCATCAGTTGATGGCTGCTGAAGAGGAGCCACCGTGACTGGCGCCTGGCACACAGCCGGAAGTGTCTGCGGTTACAGGGTGGCAGGTGTTGTCAGCTACTGAGCCAGGTCCCTCTGCATGGGATAGTGTGGACAGAGCAGCAGATGGCTCTTCAGCCCGGCCTGGCACTGGGCTCTGACTTGTGTGTCTGCCCTCAGCGCCTCACAGTTTTACACCCAGAAGTCTGATCTACAACTTCCTTCAAGTTTTGTTTTATCTTTTAAAAAGCCGTGCAGCTTTTACCTTTTATTATTAAATATACCCATGACTTTTTAGCTGTCAATGCAATTTTAAAAGTTTAGATTTCTTTTCTAATTATTAAGGAAATACAGGTGTAGTGCAGAAAAAATTCAGAGTGCATGTAAAAGTATAAGAAGGAAGCAAAAATCACCTTTTATCCCACAACTTCAAAGTAATTACTTCTGTGAACATTCTTGTTATATCTTTCCAGTTCTGTCCATGCGTACATACAGATACTCGTATACATATTCCTTCACACAAATTGGACAATACATTATGATGCAGTTTTGCTTAGTAGTAATTGTAAGCTTGGGCCTTATGGTTTATTGATGGCATAGTATTTTATGATTCTATAACTTCTTTAAAATCATACTGTTACACTTTTCCAGTTTTCCTACATTATAGGCAAACTGGAAACATCTATATACAGAGTCCACCAAAAATAATGTAGACACACTTCAGGCAAAGAAAAATAGTATGATGTTTTCTCAACAGATGGTGTTACCCTCATTTGGGGGAACCTACAGAACGCCGTATAGCTCAGAGAACCCACTACACTGCTGGCCCTAAGAAAAGAAATTGAAAATGCATGTGCGGCAATCTCAGTGACCAAGGTTACCCAAACAGAAGTTTGCTGTAATAATAAGTTTCTGGAAGCTAACGCCCACCACTTTGAGTATTTCTTGTAATTGTGGAGGCCAAAGTGTGTATACATTTTTTTGGTGGATTCTGTATATTAGGTTATTCTCTTATGACACTTTTTAAAACAGTATTTTTAACCCATACAAATGGGTCAAAAAGACCAACATTGCACTAAGATATATTTAAGTATGGTATATTAACCTCATTATAGTGTCTGCACTTCTGCACTTGTTTTGTATCAGTAGTTTTTCCATACTGTTTTGCATAATACCTATACCAATTTACATTCCTCTCAAGAATGTACAAAGGTTCCCTTTTCTCCAAATCCTCACTAGCATTTACTTCTTGTCTTTTTGGTAAAAACCGTCTTATTAGGTGTGAACTGATAAAGCAGTCTGCCCTTATGCACAAGGGACATGTTGTTCAACTTCTAGTGGATATTCTACTTGAAATCACAGAGTACTGACTCCTATATATGCCAGGTTTGTCCCTGAGCACATATTCCATACGTTGTCCAGTTTAACTACTTATCATGCTCTGTGACCACAACTTTTGTAGTTTGAAATGTGGCAGTGAAACCAGCACCATTTCTTTTTCTTTCTTCACAGTTTCACAGATTTGCTTCTACCACAGATCTTAGCAACTTCGATGCATGATTTTTTTCTACTTATCAAGTTGAAAACTTTCACCTTACACGCAGAGGAAACACTTTACAACTCCTCTCTGGCATGTCTGAATTGCTAGCGTTCCTACTCTGGCACTGTGAGGCCATTATTAAGAAAAATATAAGTGTTACTTGGACACAAGTACTGAAACGGCACAACAGTCAAAGTGACAGCTGAAATGGCCGCTAGGTGACTGATGGGCAGGTAGTACAAACCACTCAGACACACTGCATAAAAGGGTAGTTTATGTTCCTGTGTGATGGAGCAAGACTTCATCATGCTACGCAGCGTGGTGCACAGTTAAAAACCTATGAATTGTTTCTGGAATTGTCCATGTAATACTTTCAGACCACAGTGGATTATAGGTTACTGATACTGGAGACCAAAGCCACAGGCCACGGAGTACTACTCTAGCCCCTTGTGGTTTTGATTTGTGCTTCCCTGGTGATGAGTGATGTTGAGCAACTTTTCTTATACCTGTTGTGTTTTCTTTCTAAAAATGTCTGTTGGGTCTTTTGCCCACTTTAAAATCAGTTTTGTTGTTGTTGTTGTTGTTGTTACTGAGTCATTGCTGAGTTTTGTTACTGAGTTGGATCAATTCTTTATGTATGTTAGATATTGTTTTTATTGCCAAAAATTATGGCTCAGATAAATGCAAAGAGCTAGTCTCTTTGTTTTAAGAGTTTTATTGTTGCCTTATTTTAAGTCTTTGATCCATTCTGAATTGACTTTTGTGTATATAATACAATTTGAAATCTGATGCTACCAGGGTAGGCTGTGCCATGCGCCTAACTACACGGCAGCTGAGCTGGAGAAGTGTATCACAGACAGCTGCAGAGCCCATCTGATGACGTGCTGCCACCTAAGTGAGCCTGGGCTGTGGGAGGCAGCGGGGGCCTCGGGGCTGTTTGTGGTATATGTGCAGCAGCTGTGCCTGGTTCAAAACACCTGCAGATGCAACAGCTGGATGTCGTTTTGGCGGGTCTGCTAGTGTGGGACATTGAGTAGGAGAGACTGAGGCAGGATCAGTTCAGGAAGAGGACGCAGAAGGGTAGTGGGGTTCAGAGCTGCTGCTGTGGGTCTCCAGGTTGGGACAACCACAGTAGGGACAGTCTTGTTGCTCTACATGGCCAGAGAGGGGCAGGAGAGGCACAGGGGCCTGTGTCCTGCCAAGGCTGAGGGGCTGGATCCTCTGGTCTGAGCACCAAAGTAATGTAGAGTGTATTTCATTTATTCATTTGCATATGTGGAAACAACCTACATCCTAGGAATAAACCCAAGTTCACAGTATGATACTGTACAATACAGTATGATATACTTTTAATGTGCTTAATGTGTTATTAAATTCAACTAATAATGTGTCACTAAATTCAATTAGTAGGAACTTTGTCGAGGACTTCTGCATTTATATGTTAAGAACATTGGCCTGTATTTTCCTTGTAGTGTTTTTGTCTGGTTTTGGTATCAAGATAATGCTAGCCACATACAATAAATTTGCAAGTCTGGTCTTCAGGGTTTTTTGTTTTGTTTTGTTTTTGGTAAAGCTCTCTGGTGCTGGGCTTTTCTTTTTTTGGAGATTTCTAGATTACTATTTGCATTTCCTTACTCATTACTGATGTATTTAGATTTTCTCTCTCTTCATGGGTCAATCTTGGTAGCAGTATGTTTCTAGGAATTTATCCGTTTATTCTAGATTCTCCAGTTTGTTAACATATAACTGCTCATGGTAATCTCTCGTCATCTTTCTGTAGTTCTATGGAATCAATTATAAGGTCTCCTTTCCATTTATACTTGTAGTTATTTGAGTGCTCTTTTTTTTTATCCTAGTTAAAATGTTTGTTATTTTGCTTATCTTTTTAAATCACCAACTTTTAGTTTTTTCTTTGTGACTACCAAAATGCTTGTATGAAATTAATAATCTGTTTTAAGTTGATGACTTGATTTTAATTGCATTCAAATTATGTTCTCTTGTACTTTTCATTTTTTGTTTTTTTTTTTCCGGTACCGGGAATTGAACTCACGACCTTGCGCTTGCCAGGCA